AAAAGGTATGAAAGGTACAAAAGGTATGAAAGGTACAAAAGGTATGAAAGGTACAAAAGGTATGAAAGGTACAAAAGGTATGAAAGGTACAAAAGGTATGAAAGGTACAAAAGGTATGAAAGGTACAAAAGGTATGAAAGGTACAAAAGGTATGAAAGGTACAAAAGGTATGAAAGGTACAAAAGGTATGAAAGGTACAAAAGGTATGAAAGGTACAAAAGATATGAAAAGTATAAAAGGTATATTTTGTCTATTGTCTAATTATCGGCTATCTGATAGTCTATTTAACATATATTGTAGCTCGTTACAATCGTCATGATCTTTCAGATCTTTTGGGAACATAATCTTTAATATGTTCCTAGGCGTTCTATAACAATATAATATAATTTTTATTTTATTTTTATATAGAAATTTATTTAATAAGCATTTTTCAAAAGAAAATTATAGACCTGTGGGTCGATAGCATAGTGGTTATGCTTCCAGGTTGCAAATCGGACGGTTGCTGGTTCAATTCCTCCCAGCAGTGAAATAATGAAAACCCAAATATGGAAGTAAAACACCGCAGGGTACAGGGAACTCGGGACATCTACAGATAGACGTATTTGGGAAATAGTTATTCCGAGAAGTTGTGGCTATGAAGCAAGGCATGTTAGAACCCCGATTTGGAATAACCGAAGTTATGAGACGTATTGTGAGGCCAAAGTCTGAGAAGATACTACAAGAACTCGTGGCGCCACCAGATTGGTTAGTGAAATTCCGGCTCAATATTAAGGTGTTTTGACCTCTCCGGAGTGTTGTGCAGGCGGTCAGATCTAGGCCCCAATGAAGGAACCGGAGAAATAGTGGGCAATAGATCCCAGATGAATATATATGATACTCGTATGAGGATTATGGAGGTCCTGTGACACTAGTAACGTAGGGTCAACTATTAATATAGCTGGACCAAGTCATGTCTAGACTTGCCGAAGTAATAAAAAAAAAAAAAATTATAATTTAGCAAAATTTATTATCAATGTGTTTCTCAAAAATTAGTTAAATCTGTTTTAGATGAAATTGAAACTTTAAATAAATCTAGCACAAAGGGTAAAATAAATTAATTTATTGTTATTTTAGCAAACTTTTATATAATAAAATAATTTAATTAATTTTTTAAAAAATAATTTAGAATGGGTGAAATATTATATTTAAATATTAATATATCAAAAATAGAATATTATATTTGGATAAAGTATGATAATAATACTAACATAACAAAATCATCTCATGCTTTAATTAACAAAGAAGGAAAACAACTAAAATTAATGTTCATTAGGAAATTTTTTAAACTGATAACTATCAATTGCTATTTAAGGCTATTAATACCCTTGTCAATAGGAATTGATATAAATAAAAATCAATAGTTATTATACTTGTTAATAAAAATTAATATAATAAAAATTGATAGTTATCATGTCTATTGATAGAAATCGATATATAAAAATTGATAGTTATCAAGCCTATTAATAGAAATTGATAATAGTTATCGATAGTTATCGATAACTATTGATAACTATTGATAACTATCGATAGTTATCAATAGTTATTAATAGTTATCGATAGTTATTAATAGTTATTGATAGTTATCAATAGTTATCGATAGTTATTGATAGTTATTGATAAATAATTTATCAATAGTAATTGATTATTAAAAACTATTGATTATTAACATTATTAATTAAAATCAATAGGTATATTTGCTGATAGCAAACACCACTGTCGATTGTTATTGATTAAATTTAACTGATAATAATCGATTAGTTGTTAGCAATTATCACTTATCAGCTTAAAAAATTTTCTGATATTAGCTATTCTATAGTAATATATATTTTTAGATTATAAATATTTATTATATGGGTTTTGTAATATAGTGCACCTGCACTGCAGTGCACCCCTAGCCATATCTCAAAATTTTACTAGGGTAACCCTGTTATGCGACTAACAAAAAATATTTCTCTCGCAATTTTATCTAACCCTAATCTAAACCCTAACCCTAACCCTAACTCTAGCCCTAACAATCTTAATTTTAATTAAAATCTGCTGTATCTCAAAATTTTACTAGGGTAACCCTGTCGTGTAACTAAGTAAAAATGCTTCTCTTACAATTTTACCTAATGTGAACTTAAATTTTAACCCTAACCTAACCTCTAACCCTAACTCTAACCCTAGCCCTAACTAATCTCATTATTAGGCTTGAACTTGCTATAGGGGTGCACTATTTACTAATTTCCTTATTATATTATTATATATATTATTTTTTAACATTAAATTAAATTTTTAGTGAAAAGCAATATGATGAAGACTATTAAAAATTAAAGATACTCATAATAATTCAGGCATACCATATTCATGATGTGATGAAAGTAAAATCAAAAGACAACAAAATGAATCAAATCGTAAAAGTAAATATCATTATTATTTATATTATATAATTTATATTATCCATTATATTATATAATTTAATTTTTTGATTATAGTTACAAGATTTAAAAAAAATAAATCTGAAACAAAAAAAATCAACTACTGGTAAAAAAAAATGTCACCCATTAATACTGCACGAAAAAAATCACATCAAGGTGCAAATAAGCAAGTTATAGATGATATTGTAATAAAAATTAAGTCTGACACAGATAAAGATAATGAAATTCCAATAAACAATATGTCTACAAACATTGAACTAGAAGAGTGTAAAGTAGCTTTATTAGAACGCAAAATGAAGCTTAGAAAAGAAACAGCAGAAGTTGAGGCGATTGAATTGCAAAATCAACAGTTGAAAAGAAACATGGGTTTAGTTTAGATTTATCTAAACATATGTTACAAAGCTAGTTAGTAACAATTGAGTTACTTTGCTTTATAGTGTGTAAATTACTTGTGAAATGTAAATTTGCTTCATAGCGGTAACATTAAAGTATATTTTATAAATGCGACAATAATTATAAATTAATGCTTTCTATATAAAGAAGTATGTACACATACAATATTCAAATGTACTTATACGAAAAAATTTATATTATATAAGCGTGCGTACTATTAAATTTTATATACGTCCGTACTAACTTGTATCACCGTACTGTACTACTTTACTTATTACCTAAATTAAATTATCATATATTTGTTTGTTATGTATTTAAGTATGTACGTATGTACGAAGTCTAAAATTTACTATTATAGTTAAGGCCACATGGCTTGGGATGCGATATCGCAACCTGCTATAAGTATAAAATTTCTATATTATAATATAATTACAAATATAGTTTTAATATTAGAAATATCTTTTTATTGTCTAATTTCAATCTAATAGCAATCTAATAAAATAATATTTTAATAATATGAGGAGTTTACTAAAATGCACCTATGGTGCTGAACACCATAATTGTTACAGTATTTCTTAAAAATGTACTAAGTAATTAGGGATTAGGTGTTTTAAGTAAAAATGTTCAGGACAAAATTTGGACTTTTATACTGTATAAAAATTTATTATGTTATATAAGTCCCTATTTCATATTAAAAATGCACCTAACCCTATATATGATGCTAAACACCATAAGTACATTTTATCATATCGGCGGATTTTCGGAATTGGGATTACATGGATTTTTTAAAACGAACCCTAAATGTAAACTTTTTATTATGTGTAATGCATATAAAAACAATTTAAGGAGTAATTAACAATAGCGATATAAAATTAAATTAATATTTAATTTAATATCGTTATTGTTAATTACTCAAAATATTTTTATATACATACATGTAATAAAAAGTTTACATTTAGGGTTCGTTTTAAAAAACCTATGTAATCCCAATTCCGAAAATTTGCCGATATGTAATAATTGTCACTGAGTGATTTCCGTGAAACTTATTTGGTCATCTCCTAATACAAATAAGTGTCGCCAGAAGAAACCCTGACAATTTAAATATAGACTATATTTAAATTGGCGCGTTTTCTTTTGGTGACACTCAATATGCAAATATTCACTCACCTCTTAAGAAGGGAGTGAATTTTGCATATTGTATTAGGAAGCGACCGAATAAATAATCACATAGGACGTGTCGGATAAATAATGTAATTGGTTAGTATAATTTTTAACCAATCACAGGTTTGCATTCCCATTTCCAGATCATCGTATAACGATAATCGTTCAATTTTAACCAAGCCTCTATTAACTGATATATATTTTATATTTTAAAATTTGCAATTAAATTAAAAACTGCAACAATTGAAATTGGTTTTTTTAAATAGTAAATTCTATAATTAGAATTAATGGTTTATTTTTAAAAAAAATTAAAATGCTCAATTTTATGAAAATCTATCATTTATAAATATATAACCTTCTAATAATAATATCTATACTACGTCACCAAATCAAAAGCATTTGGTCCCCAAATTTAAATTTCGATCATCAAATTAACATATTATGTAAACCCACTCCAGACGTATCTCATTAGACATGATATACTCAAGTTATGTAATTTAAATTGTCCAACAATGATAATTATTATAAATATCTATCTTCTACGGCTAATTCTAATTTTTAATTCATTGCATTGAGTGTTGATATTATTTCGTGTTGAAGGATCCTTAGTAACAACTTCAATTTTATATTTACTGTATAGCAATACAACAAACATTTTAAGTTGAATCATGGCTAATTGTTTACCAGGGCACATACGCAATCCTCCACCAAAATTCATGAATGTATTTTTGTTTTTGTTAACATTATCATTATTACTTGACAAAAATCTTGAGGGATTAAATTTCGTTGGTTCATCCCAATATTTTGGATTCATGTGTAAGCCTATAACATTGATTACTAATTGAGTTGATGCAGGAATTTTATAATTATCAATTTGATCAGGATTGTTAGAAAACCGTGAAATCGTCGCCGTAGCTGGTCTAACTCTTAACACTATAGTAGAAAAGAATATTTTTTCAATCAATATAATATGTACCAAAATATATATTAAATATAAAATATAAAAGATTAGAATAAATGGTCACCTTCTTTGATTACAGCATCAATATATTCAAGTTTACATAAATCTTCATAAGTAACTTTAAAATTGGAGCCAAGATCAAATACTTTTTCAATTTCATCAAGAACGTTTTTTTCGATATCTGGATCATTACTAACATAATAAATAATAAAAGATAAAGTATTTGATGGCTTTAAAAATATTAGTAAAAATTCGTTTTAAAAAATAATAACTGAAATATATAATTGAAATTAATATATACACTATCGATTCCTTCACTTATCATCTCGGCAATATTATCACCAACTTCCTCATCATTCATAGATGTATTTGTAGTTAAAAGCATATTTAAAAAATCGAGTGCTAATTCCTCTTTATTTTCTATGCGTTCAATTTCTTCTCTGCGTTCTTTAACTAAATTGGAAGCATAATTTCTCGTCCATAACAAATTCTTATACAAGTAATTTGTATGAATATTTATAATTGGAAGATTACGTATAAATGATGGAACAGTAGTATAATATTGCACACAATCAGAAGCAATAACTAAACGATCTAAAAATTCTTCATAAGAATTTTTTTGATTAAGTTTTATATTTGAGATCCTGTTGTAATGAGTTGATAATAGATTAAATTGTTTACTTGTTATAAGTAACATTATGAATTCAGCGAAAATTAATTTTGACCAAGGTATAAAATCAATATCTACTGATCTTTCTTGTTCGTCATTTAAAAATTGACCTTTTTTATCAATCAAATTATCCCATAACATTTCCAAATCCTGAAAAATGTTATCAATGTATTTTATAGCAGTTTTTAAAGCATTGGGGGATACTATAGTTCTAACAAAAACTTTTTTAATAGATGTCCAAGATTTAACATCTGCATTAAATAACAATCCATTATTTCCTTTCTGTAATTTATCCAATCCTTTTTCAGTTTCAATACGTACAAAGTAGTTATTATTCTTTGCAGTATTCAATATTCGCTCAACTATTCTTGAATCACTAATCATTAAATATTTGTTGGATCCAAAATATAATTCAAATATTCCACCATATTTCGAACTCAATTGACGATGCCAAGATGACATATCGTTCCAATGATAAAAGTATTGATGCAGATTGCCTATGATAGGTAACGGAAATGGACCCGGATATGGAATCGATCGAGTAAAATAATCATAGTAAAATTTTAGGATATATAATAAAATAGCCAAAGGTAAGAGATCTAAAATTGTTGGAATGAGATCTTTTAAAGAAAACATTTTTTGAAAACGCGATTATTTTTGAGAATGAAAAAAAATCTAAATGTATGAAAATTTAAAAGTATGATTAGAATCATTGAGATTTACCCCATATATATAAGAAAATTTCTACGCGATGAAATGCAAAACAAATTGCAATATATACAGTAATATATCATATTATTTTCAGTTTAAACAGTTTTTCAATATTTGAATGTTAAGAATAACCAGTAGATATTCGGAAAATAAATCAAGCAGATTAAGTTAATACGTATAATTTGCCGAAGTGTATGAAATCTACAAACTTCCAATTCTCCAATTCTAGTAAAAAGATAATGATAATAATTATTTTATTTACTAGAAATGGAAAAAAAACAATTGAACACAGGTCAACATATTAACCGTATTTATTCATTTGTTCTGATCGTATGCAGTAGATGTAATGCAATCAATCAATTTCTTTTGGTAAAAAATTATTGGCTCATATGGTAATTTTATCAGTTATTTTTTTCGGAGTTAATTTAAAGAACGAAAGAAAGAAAGAAAGATTCGAGATGCAATATTTTTAGAACACTAATTTAAGCAGCTTGTCTTGAGTTTGATTTGTTCATCGAGAATAAATTGTTAAATTTTTCTTGTATGCATTATACGCAAGTGAAACATAATAACTATAATAATTGTTAATAATGTATAAAAATACGTTCTGATCATAAAGAAATTTATTTTAATAAAAACTTGAATATTATTGTTCATATTCTCTAGAAATCATTAAAGATAGGCTCTCAATAGATTTTGAAAATTCACTTTCACTTTTTGACACAACAGCAATAAATAATTTTTTTAAAATTAAACAAAAAATGGTTAAACCAGTAAATGAGGTTTATTCACAAGTTTTCGGATTCATTTCTTTATCTTGCTGGATCGTGGTTATAACTCCGTAAGTGATCACTATCTTTTCGTAATTTTCATGACTACCTCTATGACATTTAAATAATTCATTATTCATACAGTCAACTTTATGAAAACTATAAACGAAAATCGGGCAGCTCAATATCATTAGCTTTAATATGCACATGGATCATGGGTGATTTGTGTGATTTCACCGGTGCTATTTTACAAAACTTATTGCTAACGACGGTATGTGCATATTAGCTAGCTTATAAATATCTAGAGAACATGAAGCACATTATGTATTATGCTAGTACGCAATATTAACGTTGAACTTTTAATTGTAGATTCTCATAGCTCTCTATCACAGCGTGGTTGATATCGCTCTGTTATTGCAAATTTGCTATTATCGCTTCCGTAAAGTGCCTATAAGTAGCAATGAATCAAATGAATCAACTGAGGAATTAGCTGCTTCAAAACCTTCACAAAAATCCGTACGTCGATCAAGGTTTAACGAATTCATAAAAATTTTTTCAGGATTCATAATTATCTGCTTGGCTGGAGGTATTGCATATTATTTCTCTTCTCGATCTCAAGGGGCCGAAGAAGATAGTCAAAATGTCGATCAAGATATTAAATTGCTACCTCAAATCTTTGGATGGACTGCGGCCATGTTTTATTGTAAAAAAAGTTTCTTTTTTTCTCTCCCTTTAGTTGTAATTGTGCGAGCCATTCATTTATTATAGATTTATATGTTATATACTATAATAGTCAAGAATTCCACAGATCATTAAAAACTATAAAAAAAAATCCACTAAAGGATTATCTTTGGCTATGTTCTGTTATTGCGCACTAGCCAATACCACATTTTGCCTTACGTATTAAGTAAATTTTGTTATTATTATTATTTTTTTAAACTATACATATAATCAGTAAACTCATATATATATTCTGTATATAATAGTCAGTCTTTCTTTACTCCGTGGAAACTAAATACCTGCTCATCAATCTTCCTTGGTTGGTTGGAAATAGTGGTGCTTTATTTTTTGATTTTATAGTAAGTCTTAAATTATCAAGAGTGCCTTCTTAAATCGGTATTACAGTAATATTAACTTTTCTTATGTGTAAAAAGATTCTTGCACAGTTCTATTATTATAGAAATGAGACTAAAGACCTTTCTCCGGAACAATCAGTATCAGAATTGTCTTAATTATATATTTATTAAAATCTATTTTATGAAATAGAATATACTATTATACTATAGAATATTAATAGTAGATGTAGTTAACTCTTAATAAACTATGAATGTATTCCTTCAGATATAGTTCATCTTTCCAATTGAAAGAGTATAATATGGAATTTATTAATAAATTTAACCAATTTGAATTCACTTAATTTATTTAATCTATTTAATCTATTTGAAAGTTAGATTATTTTTTGAGTGCATAATAAATATTACTAAAGTAAAGAGATGATTGATTAACTAAATACGCACGTGTTTATATAGTATAGCAAAATCAGAAAACTAATTATTAGTGTTGAATATCAGCCTAATTGTTCGCGCATGACTGATTTTTCGTAATTATTTCTAGTATTTTCATTAGATTTTAATTCTATCTTAATCTAATTCTATTTGATATACTTAATATGTGTACATGTTATTCGATTATCAAACTCTTATCTTCTAATTACTGTAATTCACAAAAATAACTTATTTAAAAAAAAGTTCAAAAAAGTTAAACGAAGACAAAAATTAAAGATTATCATTTTACAAGCTAAATAGCAATATTTTTGTTTTAAAATTTAAGAATAATGACATTTTATACTATTATCAATGATGATTGGCTGGATCGTGCGGATCATCACATAGTTCAAGTAAAAGCGAAACTTTTTTTTGACATGGCTAGGGTACTAATATTTTTTTGACCCGTGTAAGACCTCTACCTTTGACTAAATTCAAAATCAAACGCTTTATCATGAATAGAATTCACAATGGCAAAAATAAGTTATCTTGACATATAAATATTTGATTTATTAGCCAATTACAAGCACCAATAAAGAATACCACGTCGCTGATTTTTATTAATGCAAAGGTATTGCAGTGACACCCACTAGTTATTCAAAGAGCAATCGAAGAAACCAAAACCTTATCCGAAGATTTGCATATTCACATTTGATAAAAAGGATTTAGTATCATACTATTAAAAAAATCAATAATTTTTTGATTAAGTTATATTTTTTCATAAAATTGTGGTGAATCATTTAATTGGATAAAAATATTGCCCTACATACAATCATAAATAAGTTGAATTCAGAAATTATGATTTAAAAAAAGCACTATGTCTTATCGTTTGAGGAAGATTTTGCTTCAAATATAAATAATTTCTATTTTAATATAATAAAATCCTGAATGCTTGCATTCTTAATTATCCTAATTCTCGTAAGACTTATATTTTTATGTAAAATTAAACATCCTATGAACCAACAGAATCAGAAATATATAAATCTTGAATAGATACATCTTGACTATTTATCTCTATGTTAATCGGTTTGCTCGTATACATATGACCCGGATGAATCGACGATTCGACTTTTGGTATTATTTTATCAGCTTTTAAGAATTGTTTTTTAATTTCGTTATCATCCTTCTGTTTCATCTCATCGAGCCAATGAACAATTTTTGAGCTGATGATAGTAGCCGTTGGTCGTTCATTTGGATCAGAATCCATACATCTTTTGGCCAGTTTCACGTAGCATTCTGGAGTTTCATCACCAAATTTTGGTCGCTCATCTCTTAGACAAATTTTTAAAGAAAGTTTGACATTAAAAGGAACGCCATCAAATGCTCTTTTTCCAGTGGATATCTCGGACATAATAATGCCGAAAGAGTATATATCAGCAGCTTGCGTGAATTTTTGACCCATCAAGACTTCAGGTGCTACATATGGCATGACACCATTAATTTCAGCATCCTGTTTGATATCAGAAGATGTTGAAAGTCCCAAATCAGTGACGTACGCGTTATGTAAATGATCTTGCAAAATATTTCCTGAGTGCAAATCTCTATGGATTAATTCCTGGGAATGAATAGATTCAAGATCCGAAACTATACAGTACAACAGGTTCAACTTTTGTTTCCAACCCATTTTTACAACTTTAGAAAGGTTTTCTCGCAATGATTTTTCCCTTGCATACTCCAAAACTATAATATAATTTTTTGAAATTGGATCTCTTGATACTCCATAACATTTTAAAAACGATGGATTTTCGTATCCAATTTCACAATACTTTTTCAACTGTTTGATATTTGGTAATTAAAATTAAATGACTTAAGAATAAGTACGAATTAATTAAATAAATAATATTAAATAATGTTATATTACCTCGTAAACAAATTCTTGACTACGTTTATTTGAATTATAAATTGATTTTAGTGCAACATTTTTCAGACAATTTTCATTTTTATCCTTCCAAGAAGCATAATATACAGTTGCAAAACCACCGTTTCCAATTTCGGTTACGTTTGTAAGTTCGTTGTAAGGAATCCACACTAGTTTATACCTTTCGTCATTTAAGATTTCCTTTAATTCATAATCTAAATCATCAAGTAATACTTGTTTATTTAACTTTTTTATATTTCTTCCCTTTCGATACCAATGATTAGCTCGTTGTATGTCCCTTACTACTCCTATTCCATTTCTATAACTGTCTCCAACTCTTATCATTCCACTGACGTTCCCCATATCTGCTGCTTTTTTAAAAAAAACGAACGCCTTACCATTATCATTGTCAACTCCGTTTCCATAAAAATAACAATTACCAACATTATATATCCCCCAGGCGTACCCCATCTCAGCAGATCTTTGAAAATAAATGAATGCCTTATGTCCATCCTTTTCAACTCCAATTCCATTTTCATAACAATATCCAACGTTGTTAATTGCAGTTGCATTTCCCATATCTGCAGATTTTTGATAATAAATGAATGCCTTATGTCCATCCTTTTCTACTCCAAATCCATTTCGATAACAATTTCCAACGTTGTCAATTGCAGTTGCATTTCCCATCTCAGCAGATTTTTGATAATAAATGAATGCCTTAGGTTCATCCTTTTCAACTCCAATTCCATTTTCATAACAATATCCAACCATGTTAATTGCAGTTGCATTTCCCATATCTGCAGATTTTTGATAATAAATGAATGCCTTATGTCCATCCTTTTCTACTCCAAATCCATTTCGATAACAATTTCCAACGGTGTTATTTGCAGTTACATAATCCTTGTCTGCAGATTTTTTATAGTATTCAAAAGCCTGATGCTCGTCTTTCTTGACTCCAATGCCGAATTCATATTTCCTTCCAAGCTCATAGAGTTCAGCGCCTGTTAAACTCATATCGATATATAATTCTGTAATTTTTTCATTGTTATTTATAGCATACATTTACAATAATCTTTTACAAAAATAGTCTAACTTTTTGTTTTGTCTCTCATATCTGGAGGTTACTTACTATGAAAACACATATGGGATTTTCTCCTGCTCATCGAGCAACTCATGCAGTTTTTAGCATCGTTACATTCCTTTCTTTCCTTTTATATATACATATATGTATCATGACTGTCGTCCCAACAGATCATGCAAAGCAAACTATGCTATTCATTATGGCTGTCGTCTCGACAGGCCAAAACTTATGCCTCGGCCCTACCCTGTATGACTGTCGTCCGACAGGTCATAGTAAAGCTCAATTATCATTAGGGGCAGGGGGGGAAGGGTCGATATAACCAGAATGAGAATTCGGGTTCGCAGAAGAAACAAAGCTATTTTCCCACATACTAAATCGATACCAATATATACTATAAACAAATTATCTCATACTTACTTAACTATACACTAATTTTCCCATTACCTCATACTTACTCTATCTTTAACTAATCAATCCGGTCAAGCAATGTGAATGCCTGATCCGAACCGATTCGAGACAAAAACTGCCCCGATACTTATGTATCGAGCAGTTTTTTGTTGTCTCTCATATCTGGAGGTTACTTACTATGAAAACACATATGGGAAATTATAGAGCATCGTTTTCAATATACACTTATGTATAATCAATCTACAAGTCTATATACCAACTCAACCACATTAACTCAAACCCCAAAACTCATTAACCTTGATGTGCCCAAACTAACTGTACCTATAGCTCTCATATACAGCCTAGCTGCATCTGAAACCCAACCTCCGATTGTCTGAATCTGTTCTAATGACAACCCACCTTTCATTGCTGCTGTGGCACCTTCAATTCTCAAGCTATGAGCCATGAACCTTCCTTCTAAATTTGCATGATTTGCAAAACGCTTAACTACTGCTGAAATAGATGAGACTGTTATCTTCTGTTTTGCCTTTGACAAAAACAAAGGTGCATCATCTCCTGTATTAGGCTTAATTCTTAAATACTCTTCTATTCTTCTTACTAGGCAATACTTGCTATTCATTCTTTCAACTGGAATAAATTTTCCTCTAGCCAGTTGATCAGTCTTTGATTTGTTAATTCTCACCCAAAGCAAATTATTCACAATCTTAATATCACGCCTTTTCAAATTACAAAGCTCACCTGGCCGTCTCATAGTTCTTAAATCTATAGCAATTAAAGCTAGATCCTGAGCCCAAAACTCAAAACTAATACCTTCAGGTAGAGAATCAAGGTATCGTTTTACAGCTTCTATTGGCAAAAGGTCTCTTGGCCACTTTGCTTCTGACTCCTGTGCCACACATCTTTTAACACTATTAACAACATATTGCACTGCACTATCCTTTGTTGGATCATGCAAGCCTCAAATTTTATAGGCTCTTGAAATTGAAGCTAGACATACAAATAATTTAGAAACTTGCCTAGACATTTCCAACCAAGCAACAAAAGCTATTACTATAGAGGTTGATGCAGGCAATGATGTATGCTTTACTTCCACTATAAACTTTGTAAAAACTCTTCAGGCCTTCTCTAACTTTTTCCTATAAAACTCACTTACTGAACCTTTAATCAAACAGCCAGCACGGTCTAAACACATACTGACCAATCTATCCGAATAGCTTTTGATTTCTATTGATTGTTGTTGCAAAGTTCTAGGTTACCTGAAGGTTCTTGACGAATTATATCCTTGGGTGAAGGAAGGTATAATTCTTCTCTTGTAGCTTCTATAATTATAGCCGTCATAAGGCTACAACCCAAACTAGCACAATTATTATAATTACTACTCTGCATTCTTTGGTATAAGCAATTGCACAGAACTCCGGACATCTCTCATATAGGTCATAACTGATCTGTGTAAATTTGAGGGGTTTTCGCTACCCCTATAATCAAGTGAATTCGCTGAAAATTCAATATGATATAAATTTTATAGTAATTCGCTGAAAATTCACTTATCATATATATATTTATAAAAAAAAAAAAATTTAGATGTATTTTTGAGTGCTGAAAAAGTTTACTTAGAACATAAAATTAGAATTAATTAGTAAAATTTTAAGAATCAGCATTTTTTAGTATTTTTATTAATAAAATTATATAAAATGTTAAAATTCTCGAAATTATACTAATTGATTATAACTTTATGCTCTAACAAACCTTGATCAGCACACAAAAATACATTATGCAAGCATATTTAATTTTATATTTCATGAATATTTAAGAGAAGATGCTTAATTTTGGATATTTTGATCAAAATATCCAAAATTAAGCATCTTCTCTTAAATTTCCAAGAAATATAAAATTAAATATGCCGGCATAATGTATTTTTGTGTGCTGAACAAGGTTTGTTAGAGCATAATGATATAATCAATTAGTAAAATTTTGATAATCTTAATATTTTATATAATTTTATTAATAAAAATACTAAAAATGCTATGATTCTCAAAAGTTTACTAATTGATTATAACTTTATATTCCAAGTAAACTTTTTTAGCACTCAAAAATACATCTAAATTTATTATTTTTATAAATATATATGTGATAATTGAATTTTTAGCAAATTACTATAAAATTTATATATCATATTGAATTTTTAGCGAATTCACTTGATTTTAGGGGTAGCGAAAACTCTCCAAATTTACACAGATCAGTTATGACCTATATGAGAGATGTCCAGGGTCCTGTACAACTGCAATTAGGTGAATGTCATTTGTGCCAAGATATTCTGCTACATATACATCTTCATGTCGTATTGTTACACGCTGTTTGTCATATAAGATGCTTCTTTCTCTCTCTCTGTTTGTTTAAAAAAGCCTCTAAAATCCTCTAGATTTGCCATTTTGTACTGATTCTATGAACCTTCTGTTTTTACACGTGATGCTAGATGAAATATCTATACACGTGAAGATTGTTGTTTATATAATGCCAGTTGTTGATCGATCACATTGTTTACTTTTTTGGTAGCTTGACATGTTATGTATTTGTTTGTTGTTATAGTGATCTGCATTACAGGGTCAAGACCAATTCCCCAAAAATTCTGTTTTTCTAAAATTTCCTTATGGAAGTTGTCTATTTGGTCTCTATAGCTCTTTTCTAGAGTTGAACCAGATATGTTTCTAAGTATCTTTAGATAGATTTTTGTGCTGCTTCTTTTTGCTTAAGCCTTGGAGCCTTGCTATCTAGTGGACTTGTTGTTGTTTTTGTATATTTTCTTTAGCTCAAAAATTGGTTTGAGGATCTATAGGGAAGAGTTGTTCTATAATTTTTTTCTTGGTTATATATTTTATAATTAGAATAATGTTGATTTCTTTTTGAAGTATATGATTGTCAGTGCACAATTAATATAAACTCTTTTTGATGATCACTTAAACTATATTTTTTGAAAAAACATTTTATTGCAAGAAAAGATCTTACAAGCTTGCACTTGACATACTAGACAGTAAAGCAGTACTTGTTATTTAGAAGCAGTTCTTATATACTACTTGCTGACAGGCTCAGAGTTTATTACTCACTGCATAGTCTTGGTACTTGTCGTTTAGAGTTAGTTCTCATACACTACTTGCCAACAAGCCCAGAGTTTATCACTCACCAAAAAAATATTAAGCAGTTGTTGGGCAGTAGGTCTTGACTATAGAAAAGAAAACTTATACTCTTTCAAAGCGGTTTAAAGCTCAAGTGGTCTCTCTTTACTTTTTGTCATTTGTCTGTCAATCTTCAAAATTTTTTATAAAAAATAGGGATTTGGCTTACTCTCTCCAAAATATCAGCATTGTTTACTTACCAAATCCAGATGGACCGGTAGATAGCAACCATGTGTTTGGAGATGAATACATTGCACAGGCCCTGGAACAAGTTCTGGTTAAAAAAGGAATCTCTAGTAGTGGCAGCAAGTGGCTTGAGACACAAGTACCGGAGTGACAATGTCTTTATGGAAATGTCGTGATTTTTGTCATCATTAGCGCTGTATATAAAGAGTTAGATTCTAGTACAGCAGCAGCACTTGGCTTGAGATATGGACTAGGTTGTTAAAAAGATTCAGAAATAGTTAAAGGAAATTTTAAAGTTAAGTTAGTTTTACAACAGAGATATACAGATATTGCATCTGGTATATAGTTTTTAAATTACTTGGCACAGGTTATAATAGTATATCAGATCGCTTAATATTTTCTTTTTCTGCTTGTTTTATCTATTTTTATTTATATTAAAATCAGTTTAGATTCCTCTTTCCTTATTTTCTTGTTGTTTTATTTTCTTTTTTGAGTTTTTTTTTTTTTTTTTAAAACAATTTCTATTTTTTTTCAGTTATGAGGGAGCTTTTAGAGATTTTTTTAAAATTTATTTTTCTTCATAGTTTTGCATATACAGTATATTAGTTTTATATAGAAATAGAAGATAATATAATTTGCTAGGATCTAAATAGATTAAGTTCAGAAGAAGATATTATCAAAATTTAGATAAGATAAGTTTGAAAAGAGGGATTAGCTTTTAAAAGAAGTTTTTTTTTTATAAATTGGCATATATATTTGTGCTATGCAGAAGTAGAAAAAAATATATTTTGCTCAAATGTTAGTAAAATAAGTTTAGAAGAAAGGCAAAATGTAATCAGTTTGAACATAGATAGCTGAGCACCAAGCTATAGCAGGTTTTTAAATATAGGAAGCAATGTATGTAGAGCTTGTTGGCAATATCAGTGTGATAACTATATTTAGACACTTTTATAGTAGCTGGATATTTGCCTAATACGTAAATTAGATTGTTAATTTTGTAAATTACAAAAATTCTAATAAGGGCAGTATCATTTATTACCTGTTTTTTTTTTATCAGAGGCTTACTCCCCCTAGTTTTTAATATAAAATTTATCAGGTCTTATATATAAAATTTCAATTTTTTTAATCCCTACAAAAAATCACCTAATAATTATTAGCTCTCTAAATTAGTGCAAGGTTATTAAAGTGAAAAAAAAAAGTATATGATTGACAGTTTGGCTTTGAAATTATAAAAAAAAGTGATATTTTATAGAATAAGTGAGCAATATAAGAAATAAGCTTCATTAATGATGATTTGTAATTATTAATAGATAATTAGCAGAGTTGTGGAGTTTACCCATCTATTTTATAAAATATCTAAAAAAAGAGTTGAATAACATAATGATATAATTAAATATAGATCTTTGAGGTGTGAATATAGAGAAAAATATATCTTTAAAAAGAATATTAATATAAACACTCACTATGAATGATGATCCAAATATCAAGAATGTAGATAGTATATAAATTTAAATTTTTCTAACAATACTATAGTTATAACATTTGTTAGTGTCTATAATTATGAACTTCACCCAGAGATTTGCAAATTTGGTACTAAATTTAAATCAAACAAAAAGAAAGCATTAAATAATATTGAGTTCTATCCTTTAATTAGTAAAGATTTGCAGACAAGTTTTCTTGTATAATTACTATAAATATGTCTTTGATCTACTTTTTTAATTATTTAACATAATAATATTTGAAAATAAGGATTATATTTTTGCAATATTTGTATTTATATTATAAGACAAAAATTTTAGTTTGCTTATAAGCTAAAAATAAACAATTTTAAAGAAATTTTTAAACTAAAAAATTAATTTATAATTTCTTAATGAACTCTTTAAATATTGATTTTAAAAATATAGTTTCTAATACAATATCACAGTCTATATAAAGAATGATAATTTTTATTATTGCACTTTTAATAATTTACTATAACATAAAAATTGGGACCTAATGTACTACTCGCATCATGGCCTTTACATGAGTCACATAATGCTGACGAGACCGCTTAACCGACCGCATTACTTTATTTTTCTTAGTAGTATAGATATTTTCTCTTTATTTATATATGTATATTAGACAGTCTTTATTGTACAGTTAGTGTTATTCTATCAGATATAGTTCTGCCACGATGCATAATATTCATCACACATAATTCATTACATATAACAATTGTTATATATAAATCGTTATGCATAACTCGGGCCAGTGCACAGTTTTAGAATCGCATCTAAAACTGCTTAAAAGGGTAAGTGTTAGTAGAATTAAACTGTATAAAAAACATTATGAAAAGATTATGTAAAAGGCATCTTCCACGCCTTAAAAGTATTTATCTTCTTAATAAAAGCCTCTTCGTCCTGTAATTTCTTCTAATAAAGACCTAACCCACCCTAAACTGAATATTTCGGTTACACTTGGTGATGACGACAGGATCAGGTTGCCTATTTGAAGAAATTCAATTCGAAGAAGGCTACATCCTATAAAGTAGAACTAGTTTAGGCCCTATCTGTTCCCCATTCGTGCTTCTATATGTTTTGCTTAAACAACTCACGTCCCATACCTTCTGCCTAAAAACCTGACCCTAAGATTAAGCGTTAGTAGGATACATTTGACATCAATGAAAAATAAAGCAAAAAAAAAAAAAGACTATATTGAAAAAAAGATACACCTGTTTCTAAAAGTTCTGTACTTTACGTCCGATTCCACACAGCTTCTTGTTCACAATAGCATAGTTAAAAGTTCCATGCTCTATATTTGTCTAAAATATCCTATAATTAATCATTTAGCCCTGACCTCAAAAGAAACGATTAGCAAAATAAAAATGAAAAAAAAACAAGGCATATAATGCAAAAGGATACACCAATTCTATAGACACTTCTGCCTTAAGCTCAAAGTTAAAAAAATTTACAAGATTCATACTTTCTAAGTAAAATCCGGCAATCTATAACCAAGCTGGTATAGAAAATTCAAAGGCTACAAGAAAAGATT